GTATCAAATCACTCACCTTACAGCTCAGGAAACCCTGCAAAAAAAGAGGTGGAAATAGTATGGGGGATTGAGGACACCAAGAAAACAGGGTCCTCTTGTAGCAAGTCTGTCTGTGTACTACCAGCTAGCTCCCAAATAATGACTCAGAGACATCTATATCTTATTAGGCTTGGCTTAAGATTAGATGTATCCCACTAGCTCTTGTAACTTAACCTGTTTTGATTAATCTATGATCTGCCACATGGCTTTGTTATCTGTAGTCTATATGTCTGATGATTTAATGTGCTCCTGGTGTCTCCTCTGCACCTATATTTCTTCTCCTCTTTCTTTCCTTGGAAACCTCACCTGTTCTCTGTCTAGCTATTGGTCATTCAGCTTTTGACTACACCAATCACAGAAACAGGTTTTCACACATCCCACAATACCCCTTCAATCAACATTTTCAAATCTCAATTAACTCAGAGAGATGAAAATAATAAGTACAGCACCTGCACAGGTCTGCAACAAATTTTATGTGTATGTGTATACAAATATATATATGCATATATACCTACATTATGTTTACACCCATGTATAAAATTGGTGTGGGAGGTTTTTCTGTCTATGTGTTGCTTTTATTGGTTAATGAGTAAAGAAACTGGCTTGGCCTGATAGGGTATAACAGAGATAGGTGGGGAAAAGTAAACTGAATGTTGGGAGAAAGTAGGCAGAGTCAAGGGAGAAGCCTTGGAGCTGCTGCCAAAGACAGATACACTGAAACCTTGCTGGTAGGCCATGACCTTGTGGTGATGCACAGATTAATGAAGATGGGTTAAATTAAGATGTAAGAGTTAGCCAATAAGAAGCTAGAGCTAATGGGCCAAGCAGTGATTTAATTAATACAGTTTCTGCGTAACTATTTCTGTTCTGAGCAGCCGGGACAATCAAGCAGTCTCCCTCCAACAAATTGGCACAAATGTGGCAAACTAAATCCATTTATAAACCTGAGAGAGCTTGATTATTTCGGTTCTGGTGGCTGGGAAAAACAAGCACCCCCTGCAACATAAAATGACTTCTGAGTTAATGGTTTTGTGTGATTCCTGACATTGACAATTACTTGGTCTCTGCTTCTTATATCTTGATTCTTTTCCTTCTGTTTTTTGTATTGTAAAACTTCAATATGATAGGCTATGTTTTACCTAATTAAAATTTATTTTGTTACATTTAATAATGGATGGATGGATGGATGGATGGATGGATGGATGGATGGATGGATGGATGGATAGATGGATGGATAAATGAGTGAATGAGTAAGTGAAAACTTTACTACATGAACAACTGAATTGTCAATTAACATGGTAGGAGAGGAAAAATAAGTAGTTAGAAGTAGAAGTCATGGTTTCCCTTTGATTGAGTGGGTCTTAAGTCTAATTAGAGAGCTGTTCATTAGCATTGCATCAAAGCTGGGAAAAGCTGGTGGTTACTTCTCTCTTTTGGAAACTTGCTGGGACCTTTAGAAACCATAAGATGTAGTCCTCAGGAAGGGAATATTTGCACACATTTCCAGCTCAGGAGTCTCTGGGCACTGTTTCTAAAGTGCATGGTGTCTTCAGCAATGGGGACTTGCCTTCTATTTCTGGGGCCAGACAAGAACAACCACAAATAGGCTGTGTGTTTTGAGAGTCTTTTGGAGAGCACTGCCCAACTACTCAAAAGGACTTCCCATGACTGACTGATATTAAGATTTTAGTTAGTTGTTCTTCGGCACTTGGAGACGGGGCTGTCAGCTCATATAAATTCATTAAATCATATATGAAACTTTATGTACAGAATTACGTGAAGTTTGATTTTAAATAGTATGGTTCCCTATGCTTGTTTCAGACATAAAATTTTTGTTACCTTCCTTCCTCCTTCTGTTTGCACCTCCCTTCAACTTCCATTAGAAACAGCACTTCCTTATTTCTCCTATCAGATATTTTATATCCTGTAGTTGTTTCAAGCATCTTTAGTGTTATGTTACCTTACGTACTCCCTCCTTCTTCAGTATTCACCTCCCTCAGGAACTCTTTCCTATTTCCCCTATCACATCAATTGTGTCCTGCTATTTACCTTCACGCTCCTCACACCTGTTATCACATCTACTTCCTTCCACTTCCCTAAGAAGTACCTGAAGTACTAATCTAATTGGTCTTAGTAATAACAACCTGGAGACAAATATTAGGGAGTAAAAGCTAAAAGATCAGAGAAGTAAAGTAGCCAGCCACTAAAGTTCTTACCTCTATGAAATCATCGGACCAAAAGGACTGAGTTCCTGTCTCCTCCTGCTCTCTCCACCCAGCCACATTACTTTCTGCCTCCACCTCCCAAGTACTGGGATCAAAGGAATGAGAAACCAAGTGCTGGAATCAAAGGCATGTGCCATCACTGCCCAGCCTCTATCACTAACTAGTAGCTAGTGCTGCCCTAGTTTTATTTTATATTTATATTATTATAAAATTTCAGGCAAATTTTATTTGAGCACAAACAAAGTATCACCACAAGCATCTACTTTCTCATTGTTTATTTTATGATGAAAAGTTCCTATATGAATTATCACTCATGTTACAGCTAACATTAATGCCACCTTTCCAGTATAAAACATTCATAACCCAAAGCAGCAGTAAATATTTTGATTTACTAATTAGGAATCTAGACAAGAGTTAATTTAATGTCATAAACAATCTGTAACATAATTAAAGATCAAATACTATCAACACAGTAATCTTTACACTGAAATATATGCTACAAATGAAAATACAGTGTTCAACTCGAATACACAAAAAAAATGCAAGTTTGACTTTAGATAGTCTTATTCTGGTACAAGCTTTAATGCCTGAAATTATAAGTTCTATACCATTAACAATTGATTTCAGACTTACTTCTATATGAACATTAGAACATATACTGCCTATTTTCAAAGGAATTGCTTAATGGATGACTTAGGTGGAATTTCTAGTGCTGTGAAGAGACAGTAACCACAGTAACTCTTATAAAGGAAAATATTTAATTGGGGATGGCTTACATTTCCAGGGGTATTGTTCATTATCATCATTACAGGAAACATGACAGGAAACTATGGTAGAGAGGTAGCTGAGTTCTACATTCATATAAGCAGGCAGCAGGAAGAGTGACGCTGAGCCAACCTGGAGCATTTGAAACAGTGATACACTTCTTCCCACAAGGCCACACCACTTAATACTGTCACTCCCTATGTGCCTGTGAGAGTCATTTACATTCAAAATACAAGAATGAATAGAGGGTTTATTTCTGGGTGAAATGTTTTCAAATTCATACATGTGTAGAATTTCCTGGTGTTACTCTCTGATGTTAAGGTTTGAACATTGGTTAGAAGTTTCCATCTATTCTACTCATGTTAAAGATCATTTTCCTTGGGTGACCAGTGGGTTAGCATTACGCTTGAATCTGTCTCTTACCTAAATCTTATGTGTTCTAAATTTAGAGTTGTGGTAATGGATTTCAAACACTCTTTACATCTCTAAGGTTTGTGTCCACTATGGATTCCATGGTGATACTTAAGATTTGAAAACCAGAGTCAGGCAGTGGTGGCACACACCTTTAATCTCGGCACTCGGGAGGCAGAGATATGGAGATCTCTGTGAGTTCAAGGCCAGTCTGGTCTATAAGAGCTTGTTCCATGACAGGCTTCAAACTCTGTCTCAAAAACCAAAAAAGTAAAATAAATAAATAAATAAAAAGAGGGTTGAAAACCAGGTAATGGAATTTGAACATTTATAAAGGTTTTCTCATGAACGGATTTTTTGATGTTTTTGAAGAGTTGAGTCCACAGCAAAAGACTTGTCATAGTCGTTACATTTGTAAGGTTTTTCTCCTGTATGGATTCTGTAGTGGCTTTGGAGATGTGAGTGCTGGGTAAAGGTCTTGCCACAATCTGTACATTTGTAAGGTTTCTCTCCAGTGTGGATTCTATGATGAACTTGAAGAGTTGAGTCCCTGGTAAAGGATTTGCCACATTCTTTACATTTGAATGGTTTCTCTCCAGTATGGACTCTACAATGAACTTGAAGATACGCTCTTTTGGTAAAAGACTTTACACACTCTTTACATTTGTAAGGTTTCAGTCTCCTATGTTTTCTTAGGTGAGTCTGAAGTTGTGAGTCCTGAGAAAAGGACTTGCCACAGTCTTTACATTTATAAGATTTCTCTCCTGTATGGGTCTTGCGATGTCTTCGAAGAGATGAGCTAAAGGAATAGGACTTACCACAATCTGTACATATGAAAGGTTTCTCTCCAGTATGGAGTCTGTGATGGGTATCAAGAGCTGAGCCCTCAGCAAAACACTTGCCACATTCATTACATTTATAAGGTTTCTTTCTACCATGTATTTTGTAGTGAGTTTTAAGATAGGCACCCCAAGCAAAGGACTTGCCACACTCTTTACATTTGTAAGATTTCTCTCCAGTATGGGTTCTGTGATGTTTTCGAAGACTTGAGCTGTTTGTAAAGGATTTGCCACAATCTGTACATTTGTAAGGTTTCTCTCCAGTATGTATTCTGTGATGAGCTAGAAGGTTTGATCCTTTGGCGAAAGACTTCCCACATTCTTTACATTTGTAAGGTTTCTCTCCAGTATGGACTCTGTGGTGGTTCTGAAGATGTGTGCTCAGGGTAAAGGACTTGCCACAATCTGTACATTTGTAAGGTTTCTCTCCAGTATGAATTCTCTGATGATCTTGAAGATTTGATCCTTTGGCAAATAACTTTCCACATTCTTTACATTTGTAAGGTTTCTCTCCAGTATGGACTCTGTGGTGGTTCTGAAGATGTGTGCGCAGGGTAAAGGACCTTCCACAGTCTGTACATTTGTAAGGTTTCTCTCCAGTATGCACTCTGTAATGAACTTGAAGAGAAGAAGCATGAGTAAAGGACTTGCCACATTCTTTACATCTGTATGGTTTTTCTCCAGTATGGATTCTATGATGAATTTGTAGATATGATCCTGTGCAAAAAGTCCTTTCACATACTTTACATTTGTAACGTTTCTCCTCAGTATGGTTTGTATAATGCTTTCTAAGGCCTGAGAACTGGGAAAAGGACTTTCCACATTCTGTAAATTTGCATGCTTTTTCTCCACTAGGAAGCATCTTAATACTGAGGACTGAAGATCTGGAGCATTTCCCAGATTTCTTATATTTTTGACCAACTAAGAATCTTGAAGGCCCTGTAAAATTTGAAGGAGGGGTAAACTCTGGTCTGTATACTTTATATTTCTGAGGTTTTTCTCCAGTATGGATTGACTCATTTTGAACATTTAAATGGAAATTGAAGGAATTATTACTTCCAATAAACAGGCATGGTTTTCTTCTAATATCATTTATATTATCCTTCTCTATGTTAGATGATTCCACTGAGACTTTACTGCACTTATCACATTCGTGTCTGTAAAATTCTTTTGTAATCCTAGTTTTAGTACAAGGACAATTTGATGACCCCTTTAAAATTTCATCCTGCTGCTTATTTTTGGGTAAATTCTCTTGGCTTTGGTCCTGCTGGTGGAAAGGACATAGTGTGCACTGACCAGAGACATCCATACATCTACCATTTTTGTAACAATTCTCCAGAAAACAATTACTTATGTGACCATCATTAGGAGTTACATGATGATTATACTTGGCCCATGAGTCATTACCTTGGTAAGTAATTCCTGTAAACTGACATTCAAGCCTCGCTGGATTCAAAGACACATTCTTATGTTGATCTAAATAGCAGAACTTGTCATAAAGTAGATTTAATTGCTAAGGAAGTTGTAAAGAATTTGGAGTCAAACATTTTTCACACTGAAAACACTGTATGTGTTTTTCTGTATTATTAACTCTCTTTTCCTCACAAAGTGTTGAAGTACTGCTTATTCCCATACTATGTAAAAAATATCTCAAACATTCTGATCTACAACCACATATGTCACTTCCCAGTGTATTCACATTTCTCTGTAGAGTAAAGTAATGTTTCAAAAACTGATGTGAACTTTTTCCTAGAAGAGGCTCCCACTGAGAATGTGAAAGTGGCCCAGGGTGAGCCATGTCAGGAGAAGGTGAAGTTTCTCGATCTCCTCTGTTAGGAATGTCAGCAGTGAGTGTTGCATAAAGATCATATCCATCAACACATAATTCATGCTCTTCATTGTCACCTGTACATTCCCAGAATTTCCTTACATGTAACTTTCTGAGGTTATTACTTTCAAATTGTCCTGATCCTTCTCTCTTGACAAATTCTTGTTTGTTCTCTGTTTTGAACAGCTCCTTGTTATGAAAGCACAACAGGGCTAGAAGAAAGAAAAGCAAATCATTATCTCACTTTGTGACCTTACATGAAAATAATATAAAAACATAATAAAAAAAATGTGAAATCAGTACGGGGACTGTAGCAAGATGGTGCTACCCAAACTTCAGTTCTGCTGTAAGGAAACAAGTGTGCCAAACTTGAGGATTACAGGAGGATATCATATGGAAACATGTAACTTGTAATAAATGAAAAGGCTGGCATTGATTTTGTAGTGTAAAAGACAAATTTTTGCTGTGCTTAAACATGTCTAATATAAACTATTCAGGGCCAGGTTCCCAAAGTTCAAATCAACACCAGCTAATTAGTCAGGTTGACCCATACTGCCCGTCTTGCTTTCCTGGATCATTAATCTCCTGGCATAGGTAGTTGCAGAGACATCTGTAACTTGAATCCAAAATGTAGAACTGGACCCTCAGAAGATAAGAAAAAATTTTAAATAAAAGTAGAGGTTATGAATTTGGTTCCACCATCCAATGTCTCACAAAGGTAAATAAGAGTTAAACAGTATGGGTTCTTCTTAATCCTTGAGGCAAAGTATTTCCTACAAATACTAAGAGGTTTGTTAAGACTCAGAGGAGCAAACACTCAGAACAACAGCTCTCCAGCTTCATACAAATAACTGTAAAATTCATTCTTTGGTTTCTGGAACAAAAAAACACTGATAGTGAAAACTACAAGTGCACAGGAAGCAATATAAAAAAGAGCACATGTAAAGGGGAATAAATTTTGGACAATTATTTTGCAATCTAAATGTGAGCAACTCATTGCTTGGACCCTTTCAGAAGGACTGTAAAATGAAAAACATCTTCTGCTGTACACATCTTGACACCACAGGCTGACTGGACCCTATGGCTGCTCAGGCTTCCCTGTGGTTGCTGGGCCAGGCATTTGGGGTTCACCCTCATGTGTGATCTGAGTAGAGACTGGCATAACCTGGGATCAGTGTAGCAGTAAGCAGGTCTGTGCCTAAACACCAGGGATAGGTGGCTCTCCTGCCTCATAGTCTGACACGACACAGCAGATGGAGGAAGAAGGACGCAGTATTTTTGTAAGGGATTTATAAAGACAAAAATCACAAGACCACCACAAGATTACAATCTCAAAATACAGAATTACTTATCGCAATTGTCTAAAGGTTAGGTAAAGCTTAGCTGTTATTCTCTAATAGGTTGTCATTGCCTAGGGCGGGTTGTTCACTCATAACAACTGTCCCGTGGTCATGTCCTCAGGATATCTGCTGACCCTTTGCTAACCACAGAGGCTGCTTGAAAATTTATCTGATTGGTCCCTTGTTACTCAACTGATAGGGGAAGTTAGGTGGTCAGCATCATGTCAGTAGTTTTGTGTGACCTGGGTTTTTCCCATTAGCTAATACTTCCCTGCAAAGGAGGCTAGCAACCCCTGGCTTTTCTCAGGGTTGGGGTGAAGTTCAAAGTCCCACAAGGTCCCAGGATCAAAATGGAATCCGTTCTGGCCTCGCAACAAATCATAGATTGGATAATGATAAGAAGGACAACTTATTGGTACAGAGCCTAAAAAATCATTGAGCCAATTAAATAATTGCAGGCTGATTGTTTCACACTGGCAGGAAGTAATGGCACGTTGTTACTCAGGATCTATAGATAACCATTATCAGCAAGATCTTTCAAGACTTTTTGAAGATATGCCATGAATAACATATAAAATTATGTCTTAAAAAGTCTAGAGATTGCTCTTACGGATAGCTCTTCAAAAGGACAAGGAGTTTGTATTTTATATATAAATTCTACTGAAAGACCCTCGAAGAGGACCTTCCCTCTGACGAAGACCCCAGGACTCAGGACACTCCGAGACCACAGGATGCAATTAGCAAGAGGTCTATTAGGTAAACACAGGTTCCTGCAGGCGGCAAAGTCTTTCGGAGGACTTGCGCGCCTGCAGACTGGGGGGAGGTCTTTTTATAGGAAAGAGGGCGGCAAAAGCAGATTACAGAAGCAGATGCATGGTTATTGGTCGGTTGGAATGAGGCAAGAGGCATAAGTGGTTTTTCCTTTCCCAGCACAGAAGTATGGCAACAGATATTCTGTTGTATAGATGTCCTATCTCACAGATATCCTGCTTTGCAGTGAGGGGCCCTGACCTCACTCTGTACTTACATTTGTTTGTCAAAAGCCTTGAGAAATGACGTTACAGCAGCTAAGCTAGGATCTTTTATAGGGGGAATTGTTTCTTTTGTAAAATGCTGATATTCTAAGTTTGGCACATGTGCTGACTACAGGTATCCTGTTTTCCTAAGCAAACGGGATGTTCTCATGAGAGCCAGCTAGCTGCAGGTCCTGAGAGGGTCCTGAGGGTCTCAAGCAAACAGGATGTTCTCATGAGAGCCAGCTAGCTGCAGGTCCTGAAAATCTTTCAAACAAATAGGACGTTCTCACGGGAGCATGCTAGCTGCGGGTTCTGGGCGTGGGGGGGGGGTGGTCTGTAGGGTCTTTCACTACATCCTCCATAAAAAATAAGAAACCCACACCTGACTATACAGCTCAATGGTCTAAACATACTATAATCAATCAGCTTTCCTAGATGTTTCTCAGTTATTGAATATTTTGACTCTGCACACTGTGTTCAAAGTATTTCTTTCCTAGAAACTTCAAGACTCACATCCACCCACACTAACAATGTTATTTCACAATTATTTCTCTCCTCTTTCAGGCATCTATAAGACAATGGTCTCAAGAGTTGTTTCATAACTTACATTCATACTTATTCTAAGTTTCCAAGTTTGTTAATACTTAATTCTCATCTAATACTCAAGCTGATATACTGACCTATACCTTGCCCTTAATACTTTCTTTTACAGTCTCTTAAAAATCTCACGAACTTCTTTACCTTCTTGTTTCTTCAAACCACTGCCCTCTACTGATTGAACTAATCATCAAGGTTTAAAATCAAACATACCATTTGGCAGATAGTACTCATATCTCAGAATTTGATGTTTAAAATATGTTCATGTAACAGTACATACTTTTTCTAATATAATTGTTGCTTCTGTTCCCAGCAGTGAAGCAACTTTGAAGCCATTAATAATTTAGTATGCACCTTTTCCTTTCTAGGACTCTTATTACAAGTAAAAATTTATAATGATCTTGTTTATACTAGCAAACACTTTAAACAATGTATGTGATATTAATAACGTTACTATAATCCTTCATATTCCACAAAATCAAGCTATTATAGAACAACCTGACACCATCAAATATTTAAACAGCAAATTTTAAAAATAAAGGGTATACAGTCACCTAAATCAGCATATACTCTGGTATATTCAGCTATTTCAACTTTAAATGTTTTTACTTTAAAGGTTAGTTCTTTTTCTGTTGCCCCAAAGTATTTGGCACTAAAAAAGATAGAGCTTAAATGATATTAAAACTGTAAAAATCAAAAAACTAATCAAAAGAAAGAATAAGATGTCCTGCTAACATTCAAGAAGTCACGAGTTGCCACACCTAGTTCCCTGGATAGCTGGAATGTGAGGCGTTCCGCTAACAGATAACAGTTAATTGGGTGTGGGGCAGGTTCTGTCAATAGAACATAATTATGGGTGTGGAGTTCCCTGCAGACTCCCCAGGGTGATGGTTCCTGTAATGATTTTTAGGGGGGAAATGGCTCGTGACAGTTATACTGCTTCTTTCCAGGAAATTAAAGTCGCAGTTGGTACCTACTCTGATGCATTCAACCAGGACTGTATCCTGGAAACGAGCAGACAAAGCACATGAAGACTGATAACAAGCATATCAAGAGGAGACAACCCAAGAGGAAGAAGGTGATGACTTGTGGTGACAAAAGGACACAATATTATGGACCCTCAAATATAATACTCAGTTTGTCAATACAGGCTCCAAATGCTTGCTTGCTTGCTTGCTTGCTTGCTTTCTTTCTTTCTTTCTTTCTTTCTTTCTTTCTTTCTTTCTCTCTTTCTTTCTTTTTTCCTTCTTTTGGTCACAGGGGATAAATGTTATTCCTGGAATAGACAGTAAGATGTTGTCTGTCATGGTAAGGATTGTTTTTATGCTTTTTGATTATCAGTCCCAAGAGTGATTACTGGTATATATAAAAGTTTATAAGGTTTTTAAATTTATAAAAGTTTAAAACATGGCTGTATGATTAGAAAAATTACAACTAAATTTACAACAGATATATCATTGGAAACTAATAAAACTGTGGGTAAAATGAGAATGGTAGGAAGGTAAGGCCTACAAGGCTGAAAGATGAGCCAACCTGAGTGCTTAACAGCAGGCACTGTCAGAGACCCTGATCATGCCTAGCCAATGAGGGGTGATCACAGGATGTCAGTGGACTGGAATGCAAATAGGGTGCTTGGAGGAGGAACTAGAAGGCTCTGAGTCTGCTGTTTGCCTTTTACTTGACTCCTGGTCTCTATGTCATTGATAGGGTGCTTTCTCAATCTCACCCCCAAAAGAGTCTCTAAGACCCTGCAACATCTGGCACTTGAACAGGTTCTAGTTGTCTCCCTCTTACTTGCGGCAATGGACAGCACCCCCAAGATGGTGTATTTCAGTCAGGAGCTCCATCAATATAGTGTGGTTTTGGTCCCTTTGTCAGGTAAAATGTTGAGACCGCATTTCTTTCCTTAGTTGATGTCTGTCATGTTTTTCTGCCAGTATGGTTAGGAAGACGCATTTTTTTGTTTCAGTTCACCAAGCACCTTCACATAAGGGCTGACCCCCCAGGAGGTGGAACAAAGGCTTGGCTGCCAAACAACATCTCTAATGCAGAGATACCATGCTGGCATACAACCATGACCTAAAAAACCAAGAAAGTCCCTGACTAAGCCTAAAACATGACGGTCCGACAAAATTTTCCACCCCTGTTGACTGCCATCATCTCTCTGTTACTCACCTGCTGTCTCCCTCAAAATGGGTAACCTCTTAATCACTCCCACACACCCCCCTTCCATGACTGATCTCTCTTTGGCACCCAATGAGGAGGAGACAGGCAGCTGAAGCCCTGCAAAAAAAAATGCTAAGGAAAGCACAACCACAGGACTGCAAAAGCCACTTCCCTGTCAGCTCCGTTCCAGCTGTGGGGAACAGCACTTCTCCTGAGGCACTCTTGGAGGGAAGTGCTTTAATGTCCACCTGCCTCTGATGGTGAAAACTCCCTCACACTATGGCATGAGGCCTAGCTGCCACAGTCCCTGTGCCCCCACCACCACCCCCGAGTCATCTCAGGCCTCAAAGGCCAGCAGAAGCCTTTCCTGTCAACCTGGGACAGAAAGCTGTTAATCAGTCCTAGACTGCACCCCAACAGATGGACCCATTCAGAACCTAAGACCTAGATTCTTTGAAAAGTGAGAAATAGAGTTGGTGCTCAACTGGATATTTCATGTCCATAGATTCATATTCATAGTTCTCAAGAAGGTAAAACATACGTTACAGGAGGAAAAAAAGCAATCATGAATATAAGCTAGCTATGAATTCTATGGTCTCCCATGATAAGACTGGTCATCAGCCCTAGGTAAAAACTTACTAGTATTCTGCTAAATTAATACATCAATAAAATGATTCCTAATGACACAGGACTGCAATCTTAGATTTATGCATCACTCAACCCTTACCAGATAAGTTTAACATAACACCCACAATTGGACAATGTGCAGAAAATGAGATACTTTGAAGCGCTCAGAACTATGTATCTTTAGGGCTTATATATGATATATATGAGAAGGCAGAACAAATGTAAAGGCCAGAGGTCATGGATAACTAAAGATAAGGCATTTTCTAGATATAACAGGATGATTGAATATATTATACTCACCAACACTGTGACAGCATACACAAGATTTACACAAGATCAAGACAGAGAAACTCCCAGTGAGGAGGAGAAGAGAAAGAAGGCACAATCTCATACCCCTAGCCAAGCACCTATTTAAAGTCCACAGATTCTGGGAGAGGGAAAAATCAATATCCTTCAATGGAATGGAGATGTTATATCAACCACTTTTCTGAGTATGCCTCATGTTCAGAAGCATATGGCCAACAAAAATCCAGATCTTTGGCCTTTTGCGATTTTTTTAGTCTTGTTTTGTTTTCATTTTTGAGAAACAGAGTGCATATAAAAAAGAAACCATGTCTTTGGGTTAGTGTGGCTGAAGGGAAGTGGATAGGAAAACGGTGAGAAAGGAGAAAACATAAGAAAAATATGTATTTTACAAAATTCTAAAAAAACACAACAAAAAACCCCAACCAATCAATCAATCAAACAAACAAACAAAAAAACAAGTAAATGAATCTAGCACTACTGGCTAGTAGTGTATGGTACAGCATACAAATGCACCATGTAGAAGAACACACAATAACCCTAAAAAACAGTGCCACACTGATTTTGAAAAAGTAGATATTACCTCAACACTATTTAGATGAAATGAGATTAAAAACAATGTAATTCCACTGTATACTACATTCTGGATGCATTAAGTATCATTTCTAATGAGGAAATGGGCTAATACCTCTGCAAGTCAGTATTGACATTTGCTTTAAATTCACCACAGGAGATGATGTTTCATTCCAACTTACCTGATTCTATGCCTTTTGCCTCCTCTATGCCTGTAATTGAGGATTCTTTGTTTTGTTCAAGACAGACGACTAGTTCTGGTTTTGATATAGGAAGGCCTGTGCATTAGAAGAGACAAATGACAATTTCCTTACATTATGTTTACTCTGGTCGGGTTTCAAAAACTGGTTTTTAGCCAGTGGATAAGGGACTAGAATGGAAGATCCACAAGAGACTTCCTAATTGTTACCTCTTAAGAGATGCTTTAGACTTTCAGATATTGATACATTTAATTTTTGTATATATTTACTCTCCTTTAAATTACTCTGAGAAAAAATACAACTGGTAGAATCAACTTTAACAAAGATATGTGCTACTAAATGTCAGATACATGTAAAAGTACTATTAAATTGAAGGAAGGATTTTGCTAAATATCAAGATAAGGGAGAGTGGTTTAAAATGATTCTATTAACAACTACCTCAGTCTAGGACGAACAGAGCTGAGACTCAGAAAACAGACAGGTATAAATAGAAAACATATTTGATAAAAATCATAGAATGAAGTAGAAATAATGAACGAAAACTATTCTCACCCACAGAGACCAGGTTGCTATAATTCTCCAACATGACAACCCAGTACAAAGTCCTCTGAGCAGAGTTCAGGCATTCCCACTCCTCCTGGGAAAAGTCTATAGCCACGTCCTTGAACGTTAAAGGATCCTGAAATAAAAATTGTTTCATTCTGTGTCCTTTGGCTGAGTCTTTACTAAGTGAATGAAATTTATAATTAACTACAAAATTTGTTCTGTTATCATTGATCAATCTACATTTTCCTAAAGTTCTGATCTAGGAGAGAGGGGGGGGGGGGGGGGGGGGGGGAGGGAGGGAGGGAGGGAGGGAGGGAGGGAGGGAGGGAGGATGTTTTGACTTGTCTACAAAGATCCCAAGGACCCTCAGGTGATAATTTAATAGGCATGGGTCTCTCCTCGGTAAGAAGTAATTATCCACATCTTTCTCTATAGCACTTAGTATCTACATTCATCTCTATTTCAGAAAGTTTGTAATTATTTCAGATCATACATTCTTGGAGAGAAATATGAAACAAGGGAAGAGAGGGGGAAGCACATTGCAGCACATAGGTGACATAAATTTTAAAGGGTTAATATTGAGAACCATATAAAATAATCAAAACAAAATAGGCTAACTATGATGATCAGGTCCATGTTAGTCTTGTTTTTGGAAGGATGGAGGACCTGGTGACAACTCATCTCTGTTATCTTTTGTAGTCTCCTCCAGCTGGGTGTGATGGGTACACAGGGTGACAGTGGCAACCTTCACTGATGTAGAAGTGATAAGGATCACAGGATATGGGCCTTTCTATGTTGTCCTCTGGCTTTGGATAAGCATCCTCTTCACCCACATGAGGTCGCCAGGATGGAGTTGTGGGCAGGCTCAGACACAGGTAAGGGTGCAGCCTCTTGACCTGTCTGATAAATGTCCTCTAGGTCTATGTAGGGTCTATAACAAATTAAGAAGGAAGGGGTTAGTAACTTGTTCCTCAGGAACTTCTCTATATGGGGTGCACCTCACCTTTGAGCAGGCAGAGTAGGAGGTTGACCCAATTTTTACCTGTCTAAACAGAATATTTAGTTTACCTACGTTGAGCAGAGCATATCATAAAGTTTATAAACACTGTAGATTATACATACATGATGGAGAGATTGATCCTGAAGAATATGTGAGGCAAACAGATGACATGCTCTGTGCAAGATTTGATATTGGCAATCATGTGAGAAAATGAAAACAAAGTCTTATAAAAAGTGAGGAAGTAGTGACTGCTTGAGGGTTCTGCAAATGAAGCATTCCTGTAAGAACAACCTGTCCCATCCCTGTGCATACCTTAGAACAAGCCATCTCTCATTAACCTTCTGTTTGATATTCTCAGGAAACTTCATCTCAAAATTTCACCTTCCTCATGATAATCTAGATTTGAAGGCAAACAGCAAACCCTCTACACCTTTTACTATACCCAGAGACTAGAAAGCTGGAATCCAATATGACCTCACTCTGCCCTATGTCAGGGCAGATGTGCTTCCTCAAAAGCTCCTAGAGGAAGAACAAGCCTAAGGTTATTACTTTCTGTATTTAGGTAGGCAAGTGAGAGGAAGGCCTACATTGCAGACCTGTGAAGGTAACTGAAATCACCTGCTATACATTACACATGCAGGTTGGCATTTCCAATGGAGCCTGAGCACAGCTGTCAGAAGCCCTAAGGACTCTTCCTCACTTTCTTTTTCTCTGTGATTGAACAATACTGATCATTCTCTTGAGAATAACTGACAAAATTTGTGGTGTAGCAACAGCTAAAACTATTTCTCAAACTGGCTGAAAGATCTAGATGTTTGATACCAAAAGGGAGCGAATAAATCCATGTCCCACAACTGTCTCCAATGAGGTACTCTGGCTTCCACATCCCAGTCTAAAATCATATGATGCTGCAGCATGGCAGAGACACTCATAATCAGATTCTTTTACAAGTTTCCTTTTCACAATGACATTGCTTCTCTAGGATGCACTGTCAAAAGCACTAATGTAAGAAAGAGACATGAGAAACAGAAGGTGAAATTCAGACCAAAACATGGTCTAATGCACTGCTCTAATGCCTTTGGTCGTTAAGATAGACAACTCCATCCTCAAACATCATTGTCATTGTCGGCAATTTAGCGTATATAAAAGAATGAAAAATCTCTCATATATAAGTGTGCTCTAAAAAACAAGAATTCCTTAATTCAATTGTACCAAGAATGCACTGCACAATACTGGGAAGTGACACTGTACTCCATTTCAGACCTCACACATACTCAGTTTGTCTTCATTTTCTCCAGAAATTGGGCAGTAACTACTCAACCATTCCTTTAATATTTAAAGGGAATGCTCAAGCTTTTCTAATTTACTGTCTCTGTCTTCCACTGAGGTAAGGTGTTTCATAAAATCCAGGCTGTATTCCATGTATATCAGGATGCAGAATACAGGTTGTATGGATCCTGCACTGTGAAATTTAAATTTCAGAGTTCACTTCAAAATTACTGCAAATGAAGAATATCCATTGAATTTTAAGTGATCAGTAGCATGCCAGTGCATAAAAAATTCCTTAAGCTAGAAATGAAAGCAGAAATTGAAAACATCCTCAAGAGATTTAAATATAAACAACTCCAACATTGTCAGCAATGGAATTCTCCAGAAGAGGCACATCCAGCATAAAGAAATAAACCCTCCAAAGTCCAACTTTTCACCCAAGTTCCTGCAAGAAGAAGAAAGAAGAAGAAAAAGGAGAAGAGGAGCAGGAGAAGAGGAGGAGGAGGAGGAGGAGGAGGAGGAGGAGGAGGAGGAGGAGGANGAAGAAGAAGAAGAAGAAGAAGAAGAAGAAGAAGAAGAAGAAGAAGAAGAAGAAGAAGAAGAAGAAGAAGAAGAAAGAGCAGCACACAGTACAAGGAGTGAGAAAAAAAGACCCATCACTTTGGATAATCAATCAGAGGTATAGTGGCAGCATTCAAGATGTAGTGCACCAGTCCTAAGCTTCTCCTTACTCAGAAAAAAATACAGGGAAATAAACCTATGTTAACTAAGACACAGTAATTGGTCACAGTAATTTCTTTCTTACTGATTCAGGCTCTGTATATCTACTGTCATACTGACTCTTCTCTCCTTTCCCCCAAAATAAGAAATCCTTCCTCTTTTAAGTTTCTGAGGCAGAAATATTTAATAAATAAATAAATTTAAAAAAAATAAATAAATAAAACAATGGAAATTAAAAAAAGTTTCTTTGTTCATACTTTCTTTTAAATCACAGTAATAGACACATTTAACACAGGAGAGAGCAAGCATTGGTGTAAAGGATCAAAGAGAACTATCAAACAGGAAGAGAAAAATTGGAGTTTCACATGTTCTCATCATTACCGAAATACCAGAAAAACGGGTCCAAATCAAACTTCTGTCCTTTTTGTTAGATTTCATCCATAAATTTCAAACAGCAATGGAGTTAAACCCCCATCTCTTATGTGTTTTGGCTAAAAACTTTGTACAAAATTATTAGGTTATCTGCTGACTAGGTTGAATTTTTTTTCCAGTTATACAAAGAATAGGTTATAATTACTGATTGTTGTTCACATTCATTTCTGTCTATAAAATCTTATTGGAAAATTTCTATTGTGAGACCCACTAGTATTTAATAAACTGGCAATATTATCCTAATGAAAAGTAATGAATGAATTATTTTGAACACTCCAAGTATTTTGCTGCTGGAATAGAGAATATTGCCTTACTGTTTTCACATCCTGCATGTCTCCAAAAACATAACAAGGGAATGAGGAAAAAACAGACAGATACACGATAGGTGATCTCGGCTCTCTGATGGAGAAACTATATCACCAGGAAAGCTCAGTCTTTTTGTATATAGCTGAACAGAGAGGCCAGGTTATTGAACACAAATAAACAGAGTCAGGGTTAATAGATACAGCTGAACAAAGACATGCTTGGCTCCTATCACTAGAAGCAGTCTCTGTAGCAGAGCAGTGTTCAGGCCTGCAACATCTGTACACAGTATCAACATTCACTTATGTACCAGAGGAAGCTTTGTCACCTTCCAAACTTCACATACTGGAGAGGGAGATGCTTTGCTTTTTCCCATGGTTCTGAGGCTATGGACATATACCCACTTCAATGACACATACCCAGCCACTCAAGCCTTCACACATTAAGAGCTGCTTTTGCCTGATGATTGCACCTGTTAGAATTTGTCTAAAGAGAGAGCCGCCGATTACCGTCCAGCCATGGCCAAGTCCAAGAAGCACACCACACACAACCAGTCCCAGAAATGACATCAAGAAACCCGGGTCACAAAGATATGAATCTCTCAAGGGGGTCGACCCCAAGTTCCTGAGGAACATGAGCTTTGCCAAGAAGCACAACAAGAAAGGCCTGAAGAAGATGCAGGCAAATAATGCAAAGGCCATGAGTGCGGAGGCCATCAAGGCCCTGGTGAAGCCCCAGGTGGTGAAGCCCAAGGTGCCAAAGGGCCCCAGCTGCAAACTCACCCGTCTCGCTTTCATCGCTCATCCCAAGCTTGGGAAGCGGATTAGAAGCTACATGGCCAGGGGTTGTAAACTCCAAAAAACAAAGCCCAAAAAACAAACTCCAAAAAACAGAGGCCTCAGCTGCAGCTCAGGCTCCCAAAGGTGCCCAGGCACCTGTGAAGGCCCCATAAAGAAGATCTCAGTCTGCCAATGTGAAGACAGATGGACTGGTGTGAATATCTATACAGTATTTGCAGATGTTCGGGACCTTATACTGTTTTTACAAATAAACTCGAGGCAAGTTCTGTTAAATAAAAAAAAAAAAGAATTTGTCTACAGCAATCTACATTGTACTGTCATAACATGTTGTTTGTTGCATCATGATTCATGGAACATCTAACATTATTGACACCATATCAGTATATAATGGACACTCATCAGTAATTGAACACAAACTTTAATATAGTTATTAGGTTTTGAAAAAAGAAAGGATTTGAGGCTAAAAGCAATTTTTAATACAGTCTATTAAAAGCTCAAGTACTACCAACACAATCATCTTTATATTAAAGCTTATACAGATACCAAAACTCTGTCCCAATAAATTTACACAAATTTTGTGTATTTATTTTAATGTGGATGGTTACCATTAAACTTTGTTTCAAATTGTTAAAAGAAACTGATCTGAGATTACTCAAACACAGCTTATACTATAGATTGTGTTTAATTGGTTACAGCTTAGAGAGGCAATTCTTTCCAGCCAGCTGAGAATACATTCAGGTATTCTATCCTTAAAAGCCTTTAGAGCAGCTGGGTGGTGGGGGCCCACACCTTTATTCCCAGCACTCAGGAGGCAGAGGCAGGCAGATTTCTCTGAGATCAAGACCAGTCTGGCCTACAAAGTGAGTAAGGTCAACAAAGTGAGTTCCAGGGCAGGCACCAAAGCTACAGAGAAACTCTATCTCGCAAAATCAGAAACACACACACACACACCAGAAAACAAAGAAAGAAAAAATAAAGGACTTTATAATGGCAAACACCACATCCTGTTATCTTACTCTGCAGCTACAATGGGAGATTTGGTACAATCAACCATTTTAACAGATGCTGAGAAAAGCAGTTAGTTGGAAGAGAGTTACCTAATAGGCAGTTTAACAGAAGTCAAGATAAATTATCTGGGTCATCTTGACCTCAGGTTCCAAGAAGAGAGCTGGGTAATTTTCCATCAAGGACATCAAATTCTAGTCAAACTTAAAGAGGCCTCAGAAAGAATAGGTGAGAGAACCTATGCCCTGTCTTGACCTGTCACATTCTCCACTGATTCTATGGGCATGAGTTAAATCATTGACTCATCCTGTTATGGAAGGAAACGTTGGTCCTAAGAAACACTAACTTAACTGAGTTCATTTTGTTTTATACATAGTTGGCCACGCAGGATCCCTCTGTTAGTCCAATCCAATAAGAATGAGTGGTCCAGCTAATGATGACAGTGAGGTAGTCAGCCATGGGGACTAGATAAACAAAGGTTGATACCAATTATCTGACCTACATCTCCTTTTCTCCCGGTTTTTTTTTTCCTGAACATGGCAAGGTTTACCTTAATTACCCCTAAGTGGTTGGCATAAAAACAGCAAGTGATTCTCCCAAAGTCATGCAAAGTCCTCACTGCTTCATTTAAAAAAAAAAAAAAAAGTTGGGCCCCCTTAAGTTCTAAAGCACTACCTTTGTGGAGGAGTCAGCTTGGCTCTCCAGCATGGAAACAGAATTCTCCAAATGGCCTTGGTCTAACTCTGTCTGGGAACTGAGTCCTCTAAAGTTTTGGTACCCAACAACCAAGGCTGAGGTGCCTATGGCAGGTCCACCAGTTTATTCCCACTACTAGGATCAGGAGAGAGCTAGAGCCCATTATTAACAATGAGTCAAGGCCAATATCAGCTCTGCCCTCTTCATTGCAGACATATGCCTATGGGTAGGAGTATAGACCAGTATACATAGAGTGGTGGTATGAATTTCTAATGAGTTGGAGGAGCCACATTTAGTCAAACCAATTAGTACAAGACAAGCAAGCTAGTTAGATTCAGAGGCATAAAATAATATATATGGTCCTCTAGGCTAGCACTGGTTCTTTGGGCATTGGCACAAACTTCATTATAAAGAAGCAGGATTATAATTTGAGAACATGATACAGATACCTTGTCCTTGAAAAAACAACTCACCACTGGCAGAGCATACATAAATTTTAAATCCCAAAGGCCTTTTTCTAGCCAATCCTCTCCACCATGTAATTTACTGATCCCCATCCCTCCCCAGATCCCTACTGTTTCATTCCTTGAAGGAACATAAAAGAACAGAGGTCCACCTGAAAGGCAGCATTTAGTGATTCACCCAATGACATTAGACACACTAAGTTCAGTGACTTCCAGTGACCTCTAAATATCGAACACAAGCCAGCCAGATTACGACTGCTTCCCAGTCACTAACATGCCCCAGATCACCTTGACAGTCAATAAATGTTCCCTAAGTGCCATTTCCTAGTTTCCACATAACATGAAATAACTCCCAACACAAGGGTCCAAATAATACATAATACACCCCATCATGGAAGCAGCATTTATGTTTTCTCTTTCTTCTTCTTCTTGTTCTTCTTGTTCTTCTTCTT